AACATTAAACTATTCGAATGGGCACTCAGTTACTGCTTTTGTAGTTGTAGAATCATAGCTTGGTCAACAAATCATAACTGCACTCTTGGAATGTGTTTGTTTTTATACGGCATGTTTTTGTTTGTTATATCCTCAGCTGCCTCACACTCTTTGAAGAGTTTCTTTGCAATACCGTTAATGCAACAGCTTGCTGGGTACAGGTGAGTCACATCCAGAGCTGCACTGATTCACAGACTGCCAGGCTGTCAGTACAAATATTTCTTGTATATCTCTGAGTAGCACAAGATATTTGGGACATTGTTGTCATATAACTGAATGGAATGCAGGCCCCTCTATTGACTCAACTCTATATTCTTATTCTTTTTGCTAATGAGATACCTTGCAGTTGAAAACAGATCCACAGTGCAAACATGGTCTGTTCCTCTGTAGACATAAAAACAAAATAATGACATATCTAAAAGGATAAACAGAGTGTGGTCTCTGTGAAAGCATGTCAGGTTACCCATGCATGATCCTGGTTTTACCCATAAGGTACTTGTATGTTTATTTGCATGTCCGTGTACATGCCTGCAAGACTCATGTTGCAAACTCTCTGTTTTCATCAGACTTCTTGAAGGCCAAGATATTGATTTTGTGTATGTTTTTTATTTTCTTTTTGCACTGAATAGTATTTTGTAATTCCAGGAGCAAAATGGCCTTTGCCCGTGGCACACCAAGTGATTCCATAGCTATTGTCAATGCCTTCAAGGTAACTTGTCTGATGCCAATTCGACAGAAAGTTGGAGGCTTTGGTGGATTTAGATATTTACCCAGTGGCTAGTTTTAAAGCCATCCCTATTGTCTCTCACTATTAGGCATGGGACGCATCAAAAAAGAGCGGGCAACTGAGACACCCAAAGGTAAACACAACAGCCAAACATGGACTCAGTGGAAAAAAGAAACACAAAAAAATATACAATGTTTTTTTTTTAGGTTTAAAATAAGTATAGTCATTTTTTTGTAATAGGGAGCCATCTTTTGAAACTCAACTTATTTTTCTTAAATTATTTTGAAGTCAACATAATTGCTCGATGGGGAACATATTGCACAACGCTCCATATGTTAACATTTAAATTGTACATTTTGTTATGAGCATTATAAATAAGGGGAGCAATATACTGTGGGTTTTTTTGTTTGCTTTTTAAGAATAACATTTCTTTACCATTGCTGCTCTTAGGACGAGACGAACTGGGGAAAAGAGAACTTCATTCAGATCAAAAGGATCAAGGAGGTACACAGTGTAGAGAGAGAGCTGGGTCACATGACTCCACAGAGACAACTAGGGTGTCTTATCAGCCATCGTAGCCATCATAGTGTAGCAGTGACAAGCAATGCTGTCATTTTTCAGTAGCAGTAATGCACCCAACATCTTTTTCTTTTTTTTTTTTATTGGCACAAATGGTGTTTATGAGCAATAATGTATTTAAAAAGATTTTTGTAATTAGATTAGGAAGTACATGACAGAATTTAAAGTTGGTCTTTAATTTTCATGGCAGATTTAGCTTGTTGATTATATCCTCGACTTTTCTCATGTGTTAGCAAAAATGTCAGTGTTCACTCTTACTGAGTTCATGCTATTGAATTATTAATGAATTTGTTTATAAAATATTATGTCCAGGTTTCAGAGCTGTATGAGGACCTGAAGAAGCGTGTGTCCCAGTTCAACATGCATGTGTCACTGAATGCTCAGCCCTTGGGGAGTGAACACAGACAGAAGTTCATTCTTCAGGTTGGAGTTAGTGATAGAGTTCATGGAATGTACAAACTATAAATGGTCTCCCAGGTTCAAGTGTAGTGAAATGATGCACACCTCAGATCCATTCTTGGAGGGAATAATTTTTCGTGTGTGTGTGTGTGTATATATGTGTGTGTGTGTGTATATATGTGTGTGTGTGTGTGT